TGACGTGCGCGGGGGCAGACGCCGAGGGTGTGCGGGCGGCCGCGGGCTCCGGAGCCGCGGGAACGGGTGGGTAGCGGAGCCTCTTTAGGTCTGGATTTTAAGGAGGGCCTTGGCGTTAGGCCTTTTACGTCTGTTGAGGCCCGAGGCCAGCAGAAAGGATACTGTATCCGATGTGATAAAGCGCGCGAGAGTGCTTTGTAACCGGAAAATGCCCTTCAAAAGTGGGTTTCTCCTGCCGTCTCTTTTTACTTCCGCTCCTCTCCCTTTGGCCTCTTCTTCCCAGAAAAGGTTGGGTGCCGCGTCTTTAGGATTGCATACTCACCTAAGAGGACCTCCACCTCTACCGTCGCGGTGCCTAATTCCGCTCCCTGGTCCCTACAAACTAAGTTTTAAAAGAATTTAGAATACTCTGTCTAAACTAGGGGCTGCTTTCAGCTCTGCCCCTTGGCAATTTAGTGCAATACTGCACCGAGGCCCTGAGGCTTTTGCCACTTGGACTAGACAGGTACTAGCCTTCTTTAGATATTTTCAATTTCTTCTGCAGATCAGTTCTTTCTGTGGTTAACCAAAACTGAGAAAGTGTTACAGAATATAAAGCCTTAGGATTTCCTTTATATTTCGTTGCAGGACTTCTACAATCTAAGGTATCCATGAAGATCTTTCAATTTTAGTTATTTTTATTAACATATTTTAAAAAAATAGAAGAATGTAAGGAGACGGCTTTACGCCTTCCCTGATGTTAACGTAGGAAAGAGTCAAGAGAATTAAAAATGTTAATCAGGCCACAAATTAGAGTTTGCAATATGCTCATCAGCCCTGTAGCCAGGCCAGGACACTTTCAGAACAAAGGAAGATTTCTGCTGGATTACTAACAACCCACTCTCCACACCTCTGAAGGGAAACAGGCACTGCCTGTCATTCCCTATGGCTAAAACCATGGGGAACCTATGGATTAAAGGCCAGGAACTGTCAGGAGGCCTTTCACTCTGCATATTACCTTTTCGTGATACATGCTCTTCCTTCCTCACTGTATGTCCATATCAAAGGAAATTGGAACTAAAGACTGATACATAAACTGAATTCCTTGAACTCTCATAGTCCCTCTCAGTGCCTTTACTGTGTCTGTCTTGCACTGGTCCCTCTCACGTTCTGCCTCTATGAGGTGACCACACTCTGTGGAGTATTATCTCTTGTCTAATGAGCTTTCCTGTTGTCTCTACCTTTGGCATATGTGATGAATTCTTTCTACACTTTCCACCAAAGGACCCTCTTCTCTCAGTGCAGGGCTTGGTCTCTTCGTCACTTGGGGAAATTTACCCTGTCCTGCATCAACATGACTGATGTTTTCGCTGAAGTAAAATACTTAAGTAATGCACTTGCTGATTGCATGTTGTGTATGTGATGTGATATCTTAATTTGGTGCCTCATTACAGTTCTGAAATTTACTTGTCAACGACATATAGCACCAACGAACTGCATGTGGTCTGGTTTTCATTTTGTATCACTTAATGTAACAGCCAATTGTAATAAATATGTTTTATTTTTTATTTTTCCCTCGGCATTTTCACTTTAAAGTGAGAAAGGGAAAGAATTTTTTTAAAGCAACTTTTCATTCCCTGGACTATTTAATGTTTGTGATTGTCATTCACTAAAAAAATAACCATCAGTAAAAGAATTAATTGAAGTCTAGAGAAAGTGGTTATCTGCCATTTTACCCTGTTCAAAATTGTCAAAGTACCATTACAATGGGAATTCTATGATAACGTTTAGGTACAGGTTCATGTTCATGAGCTCGAGCAATATTAAGTGATATACAAAGTGATGATTAAAAGGTTGGTGTTTACATTAGGATTTCCCTTCATTTTCCTTTTGAGAGCTTTTGGGTTGACAGAAAAGGTCCCTGCAGCTTGTTTTTCTCAGATATCCTTGTCCTCTGAACTGTTCTGTTGGTTATCTTCAATCTCTGGCAATCAGAGATTAAAGATAGAGATTGTTGAGGTAGGAATGGGTTGTGAGTCCAGCACATTAATGGAAGAAAAGCTTGGGGAAGGCCACAAAATATTTGTTTCTTGATTAAAGGCTTTGCAGTCTTGACAAGGGCAAAACAAGCTGTGCTGAGTGAGAGTTTTAAGGCTTCTAAGTATTTAAAGGAATTAAAAAATATATACCTCATATGCTCAAGTGCCAAATGTAAAATTTGATGTCACCACCATCCAGACCATTATAAATAGAATATATCCAATACCCAGCCAGAGAGCTTCTTTGTGCCCCTTGTAACCATGTACCCCGACCACCATCACCACTATTCTGTCTTGCTTTGCATGTTCTTGAATGTCATATAAAAGGAATTATACAGTATGTAGTTTTTTTGTGACTGGCTCTCCCTGAGGAGTTTATGTGGATATGCATAGCTGGTTTGCTATTTCCAAGTAGAAGAAATATAGTGAGTGGAAGACTATATGGATAATGGATGAAACATTTTTTTTTGTTAACATAGAGAAGATATGAATATATACATTAGCTATTGGTGATTCATTACATGAGCTAAAGGAGAGTTTCTAACCCCACCAATAAAAAAAAAAAATCCTTATTGTGCATATAGGGACTAGTTTCTTAGATTCCCTTTACTTTAAATTTATATCCTGTTTTATTCATATTTTTTAATTTGCATTTCATTTCCACAACCCTGCCTTCTTGGCAGTACCAGAAACAGGGGCTGAAGATTGTATTGTCCTAAATAGAAGTGACAGGCTAATCCAACCACCTTGTGAGACAGCATCCAACAAAATCTAGTTTTATTAGCATTAATTCTTATATTTAGAATTCATTTTTAAAAAAAACATAAGGATACTTTGTGGTCAGAGAAGGCCAGACAAAATGGTCAATGTGAGAATAAAGTTAAAGGTGGTGTTATTTAGTGAGGATCAGTAATCCGTCTGCTTTGTATTCTAGCTAGGCCTAGTCTCTTAATTTCTTTGCTTGCTTTCTTTCTATAAACTCATCTAGTCCCATGAATTCAAATATGACTAATAAGTTGATGTAGCGCAAATCTCTATTTCCAGTCCAGATCTCTAATAATACTAACCCCCAATGCCTCCTGCACATCTCTGGACATCTTTGCCCATTTTTTGATTGCTTTGCTAATCTTTGTCATTGATCTATGTTTTCTGAATAGTAATACCTGGTTGGTTACATTTGCACGACCTCCATATACCTTCCTCCAGTCTATGCCTTTTCTTTGACCTTTGTTTATGGTGTCTCGTCATATACTGAAGTTTAGTTTGAATGTAGTCAGATTTATTCACCTTTTCCTTTATATTTTGTGCTTTGGGGTCTTGTTTAAGAAGTTCTTTTCTACCGTAAAATCACAAAGATTTATCTTTTTGCTAAAAGTTTTAAACTTTTATTCTTTATATTTAAGTTTTTAATCAACCTATTTTTGTGCATGAGGTAGAGAATTAATTTTATTTATTTTCTATATAAACAGTTAATTGTTCTAGCAGCATTTATTGAATAGTTTAACTTCTTTAATGGTTTGTAATTTCACTGATCTCAAATCCAATTTCCACACATTCATGGATTCTTTATTCTTTTCCATTGGTTAGTTTGTATGAACCATGTGACATTATCACACTACAGCTGCTACAGCTTTATAGTAAGTATAAACACCCAGCAAAATATTAATAACAGTTAACAGTCACCTATTTTCTTCAAAGTTAACTTTACTACTCTACATGAATTTCAGAGTCATCTTGTTAAGATCTATGAAAAAAACTTGATTTTTTATTGAAAATTCGTTAGGGACTCAGTTTCTCTTCTGTATATGCTGGTATTAATGGTTGTTATGACTAGATTGAATTAATTTTTTAGTGCGCTTAATGGTTATTATCATCAGTATCATCATCATCAATGAATGAGCATTTACTCTGGTTTCAAAATCTTAAATTCAAAAACCCCACCTTCTGACTACACTACAGAATATTTGTTTATACCTCTTCTATACTCCTTTACTCCCATTAAACTTACTCTTTGATGTCATGAAGCTATTTAATGTTGAAACCATATATATTTTTGTAGTCTGTCAGTCCATTCCTGGATTTATTTATTTTTCCTATTTTTCACAAAAGTTGTTCCTAATCTTCACTGTTCTGCATTATTTACTAATTAAACCTTCTAATTGCTGCTACCAGGTTTATTTTGAGCCTCAGTGACCTTTGTTTCTAGTTGCCAGAGAAGGTTTTCTTACCATCATCTCTAATCTGGCTATTCTTCAAGTCTGACCGCTCTCTGTGTTCATCTTCCAAGACTTTGCTCCATCAGTTATCTTCTCTCAAATTCTCATTTACTTGCTCTCTACTGGCCCTATTAACTGGTGGTTTCTAGGCTTTTAGATTTCACTAACCAATACATTTGTTAATTGAGAAAATCGACATAAGTTTACCAATTTTATCAAGAAAAGATATTTAAAAGCAATATGTAATATGTCAACTATAATTCAACAAAAAAATAAAAGCAATATAACAACAAAAAACTAGTTAAGACCACAGGCTCTGGAGCTAAACTGTCTCTGCCAGGGTAAATTATATAACCTATAAAAATGTAGAAAATTCCTAACTCTTAAGGTTAGATTGTATATACTAATCCAGTGAATTAATATAAAGCATTTAACACAATACCTGGCACATAAACATGCACAGTAGTGCTATCTTTTATCATCAGCATCATGATTATTTTTCACATCTCTATCAACATATCTTTTTTATTATAGCTGCCCCTTGTTTTTTACAATTGTTGCTCTAGGGCTGTGCAGTCAGTATGATAGCATAATGTGTCAGTGCTAATCACAAGTGGGTCTTGGGGATCTAATTAAGATTTCTGTAAGTATAAAATGCTTAAGGTGACCCCATGCAGATTTCTGGAGCTTTTTCTGTATGTATCCTG